AAAAAAAAAAACTAAACTTGATACTATTGAGTAGATTCTAACTCACAGCAACACTATGGGACAGAGTCAAAATGGACCATGGGATTTCCAAGGGACTCCTGGATCAGCACTGGACTGTGAGCCACAAGGTTGGCAGTTAAAACCCACCAACTGCTCCTCGGAAACCCTATACAAGGTCACTATGAGTCAGAAATGATTCTCCAGCACTTAACAACAACAATAATCTTTACGGAGAAAAAGACTTAAGGATTACAGCCTTGGAAATCCCATGGGGCAATCTGACTCTGCCCTATAGGATTGCTGTGAGTCAGAACCTACTCAGTAACACCAGGGTTCGTTAGAGGAGTCTTGGTGTGGCTCTGTAGCAAAGTTGGCAGTTCAAACTCAGCAGCCACTCCTTGAAAACTCTATATAGAGTAGCTATGAGTCAGACTTGACTCCACAGCACTTAACAACAACAATCTTCATCTTTCTCCTGCAGAGTGACTGGTGAGTTTGAATCACCAACTTTTTGTTAGCAGTCAAGCATTTAGCGACTGTGCCAACAGGATTCCTCCAAAGAACTATGGTGCTGGTGGTGACACTGAGTCTATTCCAACTCATAAAGACCCCTGTATAGGGTTTCTGAGGCTGTAAATCTCTATGGGATCAAAAAAGCCTCATCTTTCTCCTTCAGCGACTGGTAGATTCAAACTACTGACCTAACAGTTAACAGCCCAGATCATAATCCAGAACACTACCAGGGCTCCTATAAGGAGGGTAAACAAGATTATATATTTGAAAGTATACCAATTCCTCCAAAAGAAAGCTAATGTATTAGTATAAACTTATTTTGTTGTTGTTGTTGTTAGGTGCCATTGAGTCGGTACCGACTCACAGTGACCCTATGCACAACAGAACAAAACACTGCTCGATCCTGGGCCAACCTCACAATTGTTGCCACGCTTGAGCCCATTGATGCTGCCACTTTGCCAATCCATCTCGCTGGGGATCTTCCTCTTTTTCTCTGATCCTCCACCTTACCAAACATAATGTTCTTCTCCAGTGACTGGTCCTTCCTGACAATATATCCGAAGTATGAGAGATGAAGTTTGGCCATCTTGGCCTCCAAGGAGCACTCTGGCTGCACGTCTTCCAACACAGATCTGTTTGTTCTTTTGGCAGTCCATGGCACTTTCAATATTCTCCTCCAACACCATAACTTATATGCATCAGTTCTTCTATGGTCTTCCTTATTCACTCTCCAGCTTTCACATGCATACAAGGTTATTGAAAATAACGTGGCTTGGGTCAGGCGCACCTTAGTCCTCAAGCTGGTATCTTTGCTCTTTAACACTTTAAAAAGGTCTTGTGCAGCAGATTTGCCCAATGCAATACGTTATTTGATTTATTAACTGATGCTTCCATGAGTGTTGATAGTTGATTCAAGAAGAATGAAGTCCTTGACAACTTCAATCTTTTCTCCATTGATAAGAATGTTGTTTATTGGTCCAGTGGT